GGGGGCAGCTAGGTTCCCCAGTGGATAGAGCACTGGACTTGGAATCAGGAAGACTCATCTTCCTGAGTTCAAATCTGGCCTCAGACACTTACTAGCTGTGTGACCCTGGGTGAGTCACTTAACCCTCAGTTTGCCTCAGTTCCTCATCTTTAAAATGAGCTAGAGAAGGAAATAGTATCTTTGCCAAGAAAATCTCAAATGGGGTCATGAGGAGTCAGACATGACTGAAACAACTGAACACCAACAACACCAATGTGATGTCATCAAGGCAGCTAGGTGTCTCAGTGGATGGAGTGTTGAGCCTGGAGTCAGGAAGACCCGAGTTCAAATCCAGACTCAGACACTTATAGCTGTGTGTCTCTGGGCAAGTCACTTAACCTCTATTTGCCTTAATACACTAGAGAAGGAAATGGCAAACACTCTGGTACCTTTGCCAAGAAAACCCCATGGACAGTATGAGTATGGCCTATGGGGTCATGAAGAGTTGGACACAACTGAATGTCTGAACGGTAATGACCAATGTAATGATTACAGTTTGAATTGGTCAATTCAATGGATCACACTGTTGCCAAGTCACTCACCTCCTCTTGGCTTCAGTCTTCACATCTACAAAATGAGTAGCTTGGACTGGATGACCTCTTAAGTCCCTTCTAATTCTAAATTTATGAACCTATAAACCATTTATTGTTGTTTTCCCTACAGAGACAATCCATTATTTTGTGCTTAAGGAGGAAATAAATGTACTTTGCCCTTCTAACCAACATGAAGAAGCCACACAAAACAATTGTTAATTGTAATATCATCTCCGTTTTATAGGTGAAGAAAAACATGGAAATGGGCTCAGTGACTTATAAAAGGTCACACAGCTAGTTAACGACAGAGGGGAAATAGGATCCCAAAGTGCTGGCCTTTAGGCCTTGCTGCGTTGCCTCTCTCTTTTTGAGCATGTTAGCAGAATGTGTAAAATATCCCCAGTCCTTCCTTAAGAGGTGACATTGGCCCTTGTGTGGCTAGCTACAAACTGCACATTAACGCAAAACCAGCAAGAGATACAAACTGTCAAAGACAAAGTTCAATTCTGTACCTGAGGGAAAGTCAAAGATGTCTGAAATAGCAGGGTGGCAAATGTAGAAAACCTCCATCCAGGAGGAGAGAGCTTTTAGGAAGAAAGGCAATCTGGGTGCTGGTTTATTTAAGGGCTCACTGGTCTGACTGACGCCACTAGTCCTATATTTAAATAAAATCATCTGTTGAAAAGATTTCAGGAAACTGTAAGCTTCTTGAGGGCAGGGACTATTTTTCTGCTTTGACTTTGTATTTCCCAGGGTTTTGCATGTTATCTAGAACATAGAAAGTATTTTATAATAAATGTTTGTTGGACTGGACTTTGTATGAAAACTATTTCTTGTGCTTGGCCAAGCACACTTCTTTGGGTTGCTCATGTATTTAGACTGACTCTCTCTCTCTGGGCCAGATCAGATTCTATAGCTATTACTCCTCATGAAAAAGCATTAAGCGAATATTACCGTCTTATATTTTGTTGCTGTTTTGTACTCTGCTGAAATGACCACATCTATATAGCTCCCTTCTGGAATTGTTTTCATTAGAATGAGCTGCCTCCTACTTTGTAAGTAGTGAGCAAATTGCCATGAGGTTCTAGAACAATGTACAGAGAGATCTCATTACATATAGTGGACTCCAATCCCCTTTCCATAATTCCATCTTTCCAGGGCTTATTAATCAGTTAGAGGAAGGTAGAAAGGAAAAGTGAGCTCTATAGAGAATAGGAACTCATTTCAAATTAAAGCAATGGTACATCTCAAGTGAAAGCTGTACATCTATGGCCTAGTTTGTGGCATGGTCAATGGCCTTTTATTTGGGCTTCCTAAAAATCAAACTAGATTAAGATAGATTTGGTTGGGCAGATAGACGTGTAAGTGATAGTGAAGCTAAGTAAAAATGGCAAATCAACTAGGTTGTGGCAAACATGGCAGTGTTATGCACTCCAATTTCTTGTATGAGCTAAGAGGCCACCCTTGGCCTCTTATATCAATACGGAGTCAAGCTGTAGTCAAGACTTAAGTAGGCCTTTGAAATTGTAGCTGCATTTTATCTTTTATTCCTGTTGTTATGACAACTCTTTTAAAAGTAACACTTGAAATGCTTCAGATCCAAGCATCTTATTATAGGCCTGGAAATAATACATGCTGATGTGAAGTGTTATTGCTTAGGGTTTAAAGTGAGATCAAGCAATTGTCACGGGATTAGGAATGAGAACACCTGGGCTCCATTCCGGGTTTGCTCCCCGACTTGTGGTGTGACCTTACTTAACTTTTCTTTACCCTGATTTCCTCTGGGGAAATGATAGAATTCACTAATCAAAGAGCTAGGAAGTTTGAAGAATTTATGAGAAGAATTATTTATTGTTATTTGGAGCCTCTGTTCTGGCAGCTGAATATTGAATTGAATTTTGTAATGAATTAGGCTAGTCTATGCTTCCTAAAATACAGTAAATATGAATCAGAGTACAAATCCTGGCCACTCCATTGGATTGTTAGCTCCTCCAGGGTAGGGACTGACTGGCACATAACAGGCATTTGATAAATGCTTATTGACTGACTGACCACTGCAGTATCTAAACAGTGAATTTCTTTCTTTCTTTCTGTTTTGGTGAGGTGACTGGGGTTAAGCGACTTGTCCAGGGTCACATAGCTAGGAAGTGTCAAGTGTCTGGTCTGAGGCTGGATTTGAACTCAGCTCCTCCTGACTCCAGGGCCAGTGCTCTATCCACTAGGCCACCTAGCTGCTCCTAAACATAGTGAATTTCACTTTAGATCATAAGCAATAGAGGCTGTGCCATACAAGTTTCATCATTATTTAGCAGTTTCAAAGTTGATTCCCAGAAGCCTAGATTCATGATCTCTACCCATTGATTTTAGAAAATTAAACTGCAGGAAAAATAATTTGCAGGTAAAAAAAAATTGAATCATAAGGTTGGAAAGGGACCTGAGAGAGCATCTCCAGTCTCCTCATTTTCCTATTAGTTGCTTTGCTGCTGCATACCATAAGGCTGGCCACAAGAATAACATCTGCTGAACTATTTTTGGCTCTCCCCCCCCCCAATAATTTATGCTGCTTCAATCACGGTACAAAATAGTCAGTTATGGCTACATGCTAATGACCTGTGGACTGAGGCAGCGGCAGGTTGTTCCTTTATAAGCAGCAGAGACAGTTCATTTAATCCTCAGGTAAAAGTGTGATCTGATGCAAGGAGGTGGGGGACTGGTGAAAAAAATCAACGTTTATGTGGTAGTTATGGCTTCAGTTACATGTTGTGAAACATTAATTTTCTGGAAACAACAATAACAACAACAACAATAATAATAATAATAATAATAATAATTGCCTGGAGACCAAAGGATAGATAGAGGCTTATTCTTGCACATGTAAAATGTTGCTGCTTGATTTTTTAATCCAGAAAAAAACAGTGACAGAGAGTCAGAATGGGGTAGAATTCTGGCCTTAGAGCTGGGAAGGCCTCAGTTCATGGCCAACCTCTGATCCATACTGAATAACTGACCTAGGGCAAGTTACTTCACCACTCAGTGTCCCAGGCAACTCTAAGATTATAAACTAAAGAACAATGGTGGATTTATATTCTTAGAGACAGTTTCCTCACTAGGAAGTTCCTTATACCAATAAAAAAAAAAATTGGAAAAAGAAAGAAAAGGATGAGGGGAAAGTCCCAGAGCTTCCAAACACCCTATCTTCCATTTCCCATCTAGACCACACTTACCTGTGATAAGGCTAAATAACAAGATTTGCTACTTCAAAACCTTCAGATAATCACAGTTTATACAGAAGATTGCCATTATGCCCATTTTTACAGAAGAAAACGAGAGGTCAGATGACTTTGCCCAAGTCTCTAAGTATGGCATTTGTCTGAACCATGATTTGAATTTGAGATTTAGCTTCTCATTTCAAGCCAGAAGTTACAAAGCTCAATAGCTTTGCCCCTATTACTTCCAGAAACACACAGTATCTCTTGCTTATTTCTCTCCATCCTCTTTGTCAAGTTGAGCACAATTCATCTAGGGAAAATATTTCTGATGTTCCCATCCACCAGCATGAATGGTTTGAACTCCCTTGACTTAATCTCAGCTGAAAATGTGGTCCTTTGATCATCTTCAAGTTTTTTCCCATTTACTGATTGGACAATGGTTTCCACTGATCCTCTTCCTACCCTGCTCTCCTTTCTCATCTTGCCCTCTCCAGAGGCATTAGAAAGGGGACGTTCCAGAGAGAGCATAAAGCTTTGCTGAATTGAATAACTTACCTTCTTTACAAACAACTACAGAACTTATTCACATTCTAAGAACATAATTCTTAATTTTTTATATACTAAATTTAAACAAGGATTTTAGCATATTTAGAAGTGAAGCCTTTGGAGGCACCAAGAGAGATTGAGGATCTGAACTATTTCATCCAGACAGGTACAATAAATGATAACCCTTTCCCTTTCAGATCACAATATAGATAAGGATGAGGTCAGAGTCATGGAATATTGCTCTGTCTTCTCTAGTTAAGGGTAGGGATTTAGCTGGTCTCTACCTGGATTTAAGTTTGATCTCTTAGTTTATGAAACAAGCCCACTGTGTCCTGCTTCAAAGACAGGAATAAGCAAAACAATTCACACCCATGGTCAAATTAACTGGTTCTAATAAGTCCCAGCTCCCTCTGATTGTCAGGTCCACATCTGTGTAAACACAAAGGCTCCTGCCTGGAGACTATCTAACTTGGACATTAGAACAGACCAACAGGGAAAGTGAATTCTGTAGCCAGGAATATTCCCAGCTGCCTTGCTTCCTGATTCCAATAGTAGAGGGGGGAGGATAGGAAGAAGGGGAAGCTACAAGGGAAAAGTTCTTAGGACATAAGGAGAAAAGTCCATTGCACCAGAATTCAAAGATCAAAATGATGTAAAGCTAGAAACTACTAACCTGCAGTACAGAGATACAAGATGTGATGATGACTGTCAGGTAGGTGATGTTTTTGAGTTAATGAACCTCCTTCATATTGTCAAACATCCAGGAGAGTGTTGTATGAGGTTGATTGATCAGCAAAGTGAAAAAGGAATAGGCAACCATGAAAAGGTTAGAATGAGAGAAAAGGTATGTGCCATTTGAAAGTATTTCTATTTCTTGCCTTTACCTGATAATGTGTCTGAAGAGCCTAGCTCACTGGTAAAGGGTTTGATCATAAAAAACAATACCTTACGTCTAGACAGTGCTGTATGTATTATCTTATCAAAATGTTCACACAGGCATCCCTCATTCCCCCTGCCAACAACTCTGTGAATTTGGTAGTACAGTTATCACTACCTCCATATGATATGGAACTAAGCAAACTGAGGTATTACTTACCTAGGAATTATTTACCTAGGGTTACTGAGCTGATAGATATCAGAGCTTTGATCAGAGATCCAGGAATCCTAGATCACAGGCCTATGCTCTTCTCTACTAGTCCAAACTTCTAGTTTCTACTAGTCTTTCAACTGAGAAGACAGAATTCTCTTTTCCCAATTTATTGCATAATTCTCCATCAGATAATAAGGAATTCTCAAAGGTGTTATCAAACCACTGATAGCTTTAGGGTCCTCCACCATTGATTAATATTGTAAGACACTATAATTAGTGCTTCATTTTCCTTTCCTTTCTTGTTTTCCACTATCAACTAAACTTTTTTTTTGGGGGGGGAGGTCATCAGACCTGTGATTTCATTAGGATTAGGAGCTTCCTATGAAGAACTCCCTCTAAAAATGCAGGTTCATACCTTCTTTGCACTTACAGTCTTACAGCTTTTTGGATGCACTGAAAGGACAAATGACTTGTCTATAGTCACCTAGCCAGTACATGTCAAAGGCAGGCCTTCAACCCAAGTCCTCCCGATGCCAAAGGCTGCTGTCCATCTACCATGCCATGCTGCCTCTTTAGAAGATGCTTTGTACAACGCTGTTTGTAAAGTATAACATAAGTTGCAAAATTTTTCACGTTCCCATTTCTAAACGTAAAGAACAGAGTACCTTGAAATGATCCTTTAAAATTCAATCAATCAATAAACATTTATTAAGAGTTTACTATAGGGGCAGCTAGGTGGTGCAATGGATAGAGCACTGGCCCTGTAGTCAGGAGGACCTGAGTTCAAATGTGACCTCAGACACTTGATACTTTCTAGCTATGTGACCCTGGGCAAGTCACTTAACTCCAACTGCCTCACCAAAAAAAAAAAAAGAATTTACTATATAGGAATCAAAAGTAACCTGATACTATGTAGAAGAAAACCATTCATACAGACTAGTCTTTTTCTAGTGCCATACTCTAAAAGTCGTACAATAGGAGATAAACCATCCTTTACTCTCTACTTTTACAAAGAAACAGAATCATTAATGCCCACTCACCCTTAGAATCTGATGAATAGTACTTAACTGAATACAATCTAGATTGATTTGAGGAACTGAAGCAAATATTTGATTTGTATTATGTTTTCTGATTCTTTCTACTGATATTGCTGAGGTTCTTTTTCTCAAAAGTTCCTAAAGAAAGGTACAGGGATGATAATGTATGTTAAATCTCTTTTCATCTAAGCACCAGAAAAACACCAGTATAATCCAAGGTCTGATTCTATTCCATCCATACAGAGATCATCCTATTGACTTCCATCCTATTCGTTTGTTTGACATAAATACGATTATCCACTGCCTTCAAAATGGTACCATACCTCAAAATGTATACAATGATGGACAGGAAATGACCTCAAGAATCTTATAATTTTTCAAAGCCCCTTAAACAACCCACTTTTTTCACTGAGGAAACTTCAAAAGTAAGAATAGATTTAGCATCCTTGCTAGATAGATCCCACAAGTAAATGAAGAAGCCCCTTGACTGTGCTCGGTGTCTCTCAACTTAGTGATGTTGGGACTGAAGAATCTCTAGTAGGGGAATGGGTCACAGTTTCATCTCCATTTCTTGGGTGGTGATTGTAGTGTTGGAAGGTTTAGCTGAATGCTTCTTGTGCACCTTGGGGATTGTGGGCTCAAAGAATAAATGCTTTTGAGAAACTTGGCTTGCGAACCATCATGACCAGTTTAGTTTATGATATTTATAGTAGTTTTTGTTTATTGAGAAATTGACCATTTCTGTAGAAGTTACAAAAAATGCCATTGGTTCATATGTGTTTGTGTGTGCATATGACTGCAACTAGTATCAAACATGGAACAAGTGTCTAGCATATTTTGTCTCTAAAAAAGTCATTAGGAAAAAAATTTCCAAGGTATAATTAGGCAGTATTTAAGCCAATATACTCAGATCGTTAGCCCTGAGCATTTTTTCTTTTGATGGCTGCCGTTCATATTGTATGCTTCTCTAAACATATCACTAGATTCTGGGATTGAAAAATGAAGAAGACCGAATGTAGGCGTATAGTGTAACCAAGAGGAATGAGCAGAATTCAGAATGCACACCAGGCAATGTCTTTAAAAAAATGACATGCTCTCTCATTGGAATGCGTTTTGATCCATGGGAGGGATAGAATTCTCTGCACCAGGGATATGTCATTTGGCAAGACAAGTGTATTATTTCAGAGGTAGCAGTGTGGGTGTTCATAGACCTAAGAACAGATGCCATCCAACTGTTTAGACTTGGGTATTTAGGGTAAAGAAAGGGCAACAGTTTCAACAGGTGGCAAGACAGAGGCACTGAGTACCATACTCTTCTGCCAAGAACTGGTTTCTGGATTGTAATGCTTATGGCATAACTAATAACCACAGCAGGGAAGAATAAGTAGCAAATTTACTAATTAGTCTTCTCTTTATATTGCTGTACTCAAGCCCAATTCTTTTAAAAATATATTAATTAATTTATTTTGAACATTTGTTTCAAAAAATTTGAGTTCCAAATTCTTTCCCTCCCTCCAGCTCCTTCCCCATCCATTGAGAAATCAGGTAATGAGATATCAATTTTACATGTGAAGTTATGTAAAATATATTTCCATATTAGGCAGGTCCCCCCCCCAAGCAAGACACAATAAAGTGAAAAAGTATGCTTTAATTTGCACTCAGAGTTCATCAGTTCTCTCTAGAGGGGAGAACATTTTTATATCATGAGTCCTTTGACATTGTTCACACCCAATTTTTTTTTTTTTGGTGAGGCAATTGGGGTTAAGTGACTTGCCCAGAGTCACACAGCTAGTGAGTGTTATGTGTTTGAGATCCGATTTGAACTCAGGTCCTCCTGACTCTAGGGCTAGTGCTCTATCCACTGCACCACCTAGTTGCCCCTCAAACCTAATTCTTTAAGTAACAGCTTTTGCCTTAGTAAATGAAATTATTTTTAAATTTTCACAAGTCAGACACTGCATACCTGCCAAATACTACTTTTCATTCCTTCTTTTCTGAAACTTCTAGTAGGGGATTTCTTTATGTGGCTTCAGTTTACATACTGGTGCTCTGTTCTGGGAATAGCTGTATAGGAGTTCGGGAGAACTCCATAGAGGGTAGAGAGAAAATTAGTTAAATAGAACAGGCAAGTTTTACCTTCACCATTTCAATGCTTTGGAATATTTAACTTACTTTATTAAAGTCTTACTCTTCAATCAACTGCAATACACTGAGCCTCCCAGTTGCCTGGTGTTAAGAGAACACATGGAGAAGTTGTTATCAATACTCATTGCCTGCCTCCCAATCCAGGCTAACTGTTTTGCTTCAGGCTAACAGTGCCTAACCAGCTATTATAAGCAGAGTGGATAGAATATTGGGCTTAGAGTTAAAAAGACCCCAGTTCAAACCTGCCTCATATACTTACTAGTTGTGTGGTCCTGGACAAGTCATTATAAGTTTATAGCAACTCTCTTTATGGTGACAAAGAAATGGAAATTGCAGGGCACCCATCAATTGGGGAATGGCTGAACAGTTGTGGTATATGATTTTGATGCAATACTACTGTGCTATAAGAAATAATGAGCTCAGTGATTTTAGAAAAAAAACATGGATAGACTTGCATGAAATAATGAAAAGCAAAATGAGCAGAACCAAGAGAACACTGTGTACAGTAATAGCAATTTTCTTTTAAGAACAACTTTGAGTGACTAAGTCATTTTGACTTTTATTAATACCCAAATTAATTATAAAGGACATATGAAGGAAGATGCTAGCTGCATCCAGAGAAAGAAGTGATAAATAGAAATATATATAGAATAATTTTACGTGTGTGTGTGTGTGTGTGTGTGTGTGTGTGTGTGTATGCATGCATACAAAGGTAGCCATCTATAGAGTTGGGGTGAGAGGGGAGAAAAAAATTATAGGATAATTTTGTTGTATATTTGAAAGGAATAGAAAGTTGTGCATAGTAGCTTGCAGTTTCTTGTGCAATCATCTTTTTTATTGTATTATGTTGTGAAATGTTTGTTTTATTCCATAAATGAAATACAAAATTTAATAGTGGAAAAAAATAAAGTCTTTCAGCCTCAGTTTCCTCACATGTAAAATGAAGGAGTCAGATTCAATGAACTCTAAGCTCCCTTCTAACCACCATCTCTACTGAACCTACCCTGTATCTTATAGCTTTCCCTTTCACTTATTACTACCCCATGATACATGTTTTGGTATCATAGGAACCAAAATAATCCATATAGATAATTTCTCCTGCACTGATAACAAAAAACAGTGTGCTTTTGAACATCAAATATGAGCTGATAACAGCGATATAAAGTTTTTTTTCTCAGAAAATGATATTCAAATGTGTTCAATCCCAATTTGAGAACTCTAAAGTAGATCAGAGGGGTTTGGAGAAGACACCCCCCCTTCTTTTTAACAAAACAAGGGCACATTTTAAACATGCTAACAGATTAGTTACCACTCGAAATCTTTTTGATACAGAGACAGAAGGATAAGCCAAGCATGGATTAACCAGATCTGACACTATTCATTATTCTTCAACTGCAAGGTAATTATTCTGTATGACTCGTCTATGCATAAATTAAAACTTCATGCATTTGCAACAGTCTTGTTTTCCCA